ACTGCAGTGACTCAGAGGGGAAAAACGCCCTCAGTGACACAGGAGCTGCTGCCATCAGCACAGTGGGACAGTCCCCACACCACCCTGGCTCCAGTGACGGGGGCTGTGTGTCCCCACAGAAGGTCACAGGCAGATCCCTGAGTGTCACAGGCATCTCTGGGTGCCACCACCTTGGCACACACTCACTCCCATCTCCTGGCTGCCCCTCGGGGTCCATTTGGGACAGACATCAGTGGTCACATCACACAGCATGGGGACAGCAACAGCCCAGTGTCCCCTTGCTGGCCCTGCCCAGGGGCTGCCACCCTCCTGCTGGAGCAGCACTACCAGGCTGGGGTCCGTGTGTCCTCAGAGCCTCCTCAGCAGCACTGAGTGCTGGGGCTGGCAGAGAGGGTGTCTGAAATCCTCCTGCTCAGCACCCACGCACCAGGGATGAGGACACAAACTGAAACTGCCCATTTCCTGCTCAGACAAGCTGCAGCGGAGCCACATGTGCCCTTACTCCACGTGAGGATCACAGAGAGAAAGGGGGACCAGCCACAGGTTCCTCTTCTGTCATCCTGGTGGCACCTCCCAGGATGGGAAACTCCAGGGGGAAGGACCAGAGGGGAATCCCAGGGGGACCCATCCTCCCATCCACGGCCAAGCCTCACTCAAAGCTCAGCTTGGCAGAGGGCTGCAAACCCACATCCCTGGGCCTTGTTCCTGGGCTGCTGACAGGGGCAGGATCCAGGGCAAGTGGCACCAGAGGTCCTCCCTTTGGAAGCAGGAGCCCTGGAGCAGGGCCCTCCATGCCAGAGGGACGACAGGCAGTGCCCATCTCCCTGGCAGGGGAGGAAGGCACAGACTCTGCACCCTCTGCCTCCCCAATGGCCGAGTGCCATGGGCAGGCAGGACAAAGATTCCTGGTATTCCTCTTTAGCCAGGCATGTGCTGCTGAACTGGCTTCCCTGAGGTTTCCCCCTTCTCCAGTGCCAGTCCCACCAGCTGGCAGCCCCAGGCATCCCTGCTCCCACCCTGCCAATGGGAAAAAGATGGACACAGACAGGCAGAGGTTTAAAATCCTGTTCACAGAACCATTTGTACAGCACAAAACATATTTTTACAGTATTTACAGCAGCAGCTGGGGCAAAGGCACTTGGGGAGCAGAGAGGAGTCCAATTTGGGGCTCCCCATGCAAAGCAAAGGTCAGCAGTGACAGATGCCACCAAGGAACCAGGCTTCCCAGCCTGGAGGGGACACTGATGTCACGCTGATGTCCTGCAAGCTGATCTTCCCCAAAATTCCTCTGGGGGCTTCAGCAGCAGCCCAGCTCCCCCCCAGAGCCCTTGGAGCCACCAGACCCCGTGCAGGGCAGGGCCAGGTCCCGCCCAGGGCTGTCCCCTCCTGGCGCTGGCAGGGCCTTGTCACCATCATCCCACGGCCGGATCCGTCCCCACCGCCCGTCCCTGTCCCCAGAGCCATCCCCACCCCAGCCAGGGGGGCAGAGGCAGCATCAGGGAGACTCAGGGCTGGGGCTGCTCCTCTCCAGACCGCACAGCACAGCTCACATCTCTGCAGGATGACACAGAACATGGTGACAGTCTGCAGGGTTAGAGCAGAAATCTGGGGCAGGGGGTCAGCTCTGGTCCCCTTCCTCCCTCCCAACATGGCTGGGGCCTGCAAAGGAACACTTCCCAGCAGCCACCTCATTTTGCACACCAGGGATGGGAACAGATAGCAGAACTGTGCCTTACTCAGTCTGCGTGGGAGGAAAAGTTTTTTAACCAGGCTCTCTCTGCCTCCAGCCTGTCACGCTGCGGGAGGAAGTGGCCTCTGCCTCGGTTTCCCCAGCACAGCAGCCATTGGGGAGCAGCCAAACTCTCCAGAGAGGCCAGAAATGCCCAGCACAGCATCACCCCCTCCCACAGGGACACCCCCAGGCTCTTACCAGGAGGGAAACATCTGGAGGAGGAGAGCATCACCAACAGGCTCCCTGCCACCACACCGACCCACTCTCCTCCCTCCTGATGGGGTAGGTTAGGATACACCACAAGGGGAGATCCCTTCTTTCCTCCTGCTCACCTTCCCCCCCAGGTAAAGAGCAGCCTCTGAGCAGCAGCTGGAGGGAGGCTGCAGGCAGAGGAGCACAGGTCTCTGTGCATCTTCCCAAAACCATCAACAGGAGCCCCAGCCCAGGTGTCCCATCCATCCCGTGGGAAGTGCCAGGACCAAGGCTGGGCATGTACCTTCCAAGGCTTTATCCAGGTCTGCGATGAACTCCTCCAGCTCCTGCGTGTCTCCAAGCTTTGCTAGTGGGGAAAAACATGGTCAGGTCTCCCCATTCCCCCTCTCACTGGGGAGAGACCCCAACCCCTTGTTCCCAGCACAGCTGCTCCAGCTGTGTTTGTCCCAGCCCATCCAGCCTCAACTGGGAAAATCCCAACCCAACTCCTGCCCCTTCCAGGCTCCTGCCAGGACACAAGGGCTCATTCCCACTCTGAAGGGCCCCCTTGGCACCCCCCAATCCAGGGCTGGCAGTCATTGCCAAGCCCAGCTGAGCACAGAGAAGGAAGCCCTGCAAACCCCTTTGGATGGAGCCAGGCTCACCTTTAGTGGGATACGTGTCAGCTGGGCTGTTGAGGTGCTCCTCACTGGAGTTGAGGCTGCTTCCTGGGGATGTGCTGGCACCTGCAGAGACAGAGCATCAGTCCCTGGCCTGGGCACAGGCACCTGATGAACATTTTGCAGGAACATGGCCCGATCATGCCCATGGCACAGGGTGGCACACTCTTGGACACCCCATCTGCTCCTCCCCTGCTTCTAGGAATGCTTGGAAAAATGGAACTGAGTTTCTTTCTCAGGTCAAAGACCACCAGAGGTTGTCTGGGCACAGTTGCAAGGACTGGGTTATTACAGAGAACTGGGTTATCCCCAGCCCCTCAGGGTCCTGCAGCAGCCTGCCCAGCATCAGGAGCCCTGGCAGATGTTGGCAGGTCCTGGGCCAGTATCCATGGTCATCCCCTCATTGCTCATCCAGCCCTCCAGGGCTGAGTCAGGCAGCATCAGCAGGAAGATGTGCTCCATGGAGGAACCACAGAGCTCCCACCCTGGCCATCCTCCCCAGGGCTCCTCACCCCAGCCCAGACTCACTCTCCAGCTCATCGATGCCACTGTCATACACGCTCTGTCCCGCTTTCCTCTTCAGCTCCTCCAGGTGCTGCTGGTACTGACTCGCAGGGCCCCGGTCAAAGTCCTCCATGACCTCGTCGAACTCTCTCAGCAGCTCACTGAGCTCCTCAGCCATCGCTGGGGGCAACATGGGGGTGTTGGGGTACCCACATGGCAGGCAAGGCCAGCCAGAGCCTCTCGGGAGCAGCCCAGGCTGGGGATGGGGCAGAGCCAGGCTCCAGGTGCCGGCTGTGCAGGCAGTGCCAGCGCTGCTCCGAGCACACCCGGCTCCTCGGACAGCTCAGCCTTCCCCCCAGCTCATCCCACAGCTGGGCTGCAGCCAGCCCAGTAAGAGCTGGCGCTACTCAGGCTCGATAGAATCCCAGAAGAGTTTGAGCAGGAAGGGAGCACAAAGCCCATCCCATCCCATCCCAGCCATGGCAGGGACACCTTCCACTGCCCCAGGGTGCCCCAAGCCCCAATGTCCAGCCTGGCCT